AAAGATAAAAAATAGAGTACACCCCATTAAATGACTATGGGCCTTTGCAGACTGCCAGAAATAGTGCAAATTGAGTCCACTTTAACTGCCCTGGATCAGTGCTAGGGAATCATGGGAACTGTAGTTTATTGTGGCACCAGAGCTCTCTGACAGAGAAGGCTCAATGTCTCAGAAAAAAATACAGTTCCCATGATTCCCTAGCACTGAGCCAGGGCAGTTAAAGTGGACTCAATTAGTGCACTATTTCTAGCAGTCTGCAAAGGCCCTATATGAATAGTCTCTGCAGCATGTGTCATTTTTACCTTCCAAATATATCAGAATTTTCTTATGGCCAGAATGGTTCATGATCAATTTTAATGTATTCTTTCTTCAAGAAGTTTTGAATATCCTTATCTGAATATCCATGGCCTCCTTCTCAACCAGGAACATGAAAAGTAATTTATTATTGCTCAGGAACATGTTATGAAAGAGCAACGCAATGACTTCCAATCCAGCTTTGTCACTGACCAAACAGAAATCATGTGACTCTGTTTTAATTCCTGTTTGTTTTCCTCCCGGGTCTGTATCAGCACACAACAAATAAGTGAGCTATCTAAAGCAACAAGACTCCATTCTCCCAACAAGATCTGTGTGTTTTGTTCTTGACTGTTTAGTGTTATGGTTGACAGTGTTTTTTGTTTGGTTTGGTTATCAGCCACTATGGTGCCATCTATATATCAAGTAACAAGTGAGGTAATGTCAGTACAGTAGAGTGGATATATAAATTAATTACACTGAAATGATTAAGCACACCATAACTATGGTCTAGAAGTGCTCAATTCATCTTAAAAGTGAACTCATTTCTGTTGGCTGTCCTGTTTACGCCAACAGAAACAAGACTGCTTACATCCTATTTGGATGACTGTAATGTCCCCTGTTTAGGGCTGCCTTTGAAGAGTACAGTTGGCTCTCCACATTTACGGCTTTGACTTTTGCGGACTTGATTATCTGCGGTTTTGATTAATATGTTCTCTCTAGGAATCTCTAGGTCAGGGATAGGCAACCTTTTTTACCTTGGGGCTGGTCCCGCGAAGTCCCTCCCGCCGCCAGGGGGGGAATGGTGGCGTGCGTGTGCAACCCCCCTGCGCGCTGCCGCCCCGCACACGTCGCCTCTGCGCGCGCTGCCGCCGCCATTTTGGAAATCAAAATGGCGGCTGTGACGCATTTGCGCATGTGCAGTAATCCTGCGCATGAGCAAGAGTCGCAGATGCCATTTTAATTTTCAAAATGGCGGTCGCGACTTGTTTGCGCATGCGCAGGAGTACTGCGCATGCACAAAGCATTGTGACCGCCATTTTGATTTCCAAAATGGCGGCGGTGGCGCACGCGGCCGCACGGCGGCAAAAACGCGCAGCAGCGGCAACCTTCCACCACCTGGGCCGGTAAGTCCAGGGACCTGGCCTTAACTGCCCCCCCGGGCTGTAGGTTGCCAGTCCCTGCTCTAGGTCCTCTAGAGATTCTGCTGGAAATTGACCATAGAGTTGTGCTGGAGGACCTATAGGTTCCTAGAGAAAACACTTCTCTAGACATCTGTAGGTCCTCCAGCATGATTCTATGATCAACTTCTGGCAGATGTTGACCACAGAGTTTCACTGGAGGACCTGGAGATTCCTGAGAGATGTTCTCAAAGGTAAAAAGAATAGTGCATTTTTATTTGCATTTTCCCCACATTCACAGGGGTCCTTCACCCATAAACTCAGCAAATGAGGAGGGACCATTGTATTTGGAAACTTCTGTTGGCCCAAAGAGTTGCAGCCAGTTAATTAACCTAGGCTGCATTTGTACTACAATTCCCAGAATTCCACACCACTGAGCCATGGCAGTTAAAATGGTGTCAGACTGGATTACTTCTGCAGTGTGGACGCAGCCCTAGTTTGGCTACAGGAAGCACATGAAAACAGATTCTCCATTCCAGGCCTGACTCCTCAAGGGCAAAGAACCTATCATGTGTTGTGTTGTTGCATTCCCTATATTTGCTGTTCTTCTTTTTAATGGTTTTAACTGCTTTCAGTTTTCCTGATAGTTTGGAATCACAAGGTTCACAAGGACAGTTTTTTTTTTAAAAAAAAATGTTGTTTACAATTTGAGCAGTGGTGTGGTAAAAACAACACTGAAACCATTTGGAGAACCACATTTATGTGAATCATTTTCAGAGCACCCTATATTTATAACACTTCCCAACTGTTTATGAGGGAAAAAAATGAGAGGCATAGATTTGATAGAGCTCTCCACAATCTCATACAGTGGATTCCTCAAATTTTAAAATCATTATATGGGGCATGTTTTAGATTATGTTTTAAAACTTTTGTATGTTTTTGATCTTCATTTTATATTGTTCTAACTAGGTTATTTTAATTGTTGTTTTTTTTAAAAAAGAAATGTTTTTAAAGTGTTTTTATCTTGTGAGACACCTTGGGTCACTTTTGGGGAGAAAAGTGGCATAAAAATGAAACAAACAAACAAATAAATAAATCTCACCGATAGTAGATACGGAAGGACAACTGCACTAGTTCCTTACTGTTTCCTGGCAGACTAGTCAACTTTAGGCATATACCTGGTACATCAGCAGGCCTGCCAGAAAAATATTAAAGTCCTTTACCCCAGGCTTCACATTCATTCTTCTCCCTTCCTCAAAGCCTGCAGGGAAAGAGCTCTTCTTATGTGTCTGACACAAGACTCAAAGGGAACACAGATTAGGATCTCGCTTTGCAAGAAGTCACAGGGGAAAAGTCACTTTTAGTTTTGCTAATGGAACTTTTATTTCCTGGAGCACCCAGGCCAGGAAGAGGAGGGATCTGCTTGCATGAATGTCCTCAATGCCACCTGAACAGAGAACAGCCACATCTTGACAAAATGCAGGCTTGAGACTAACATCATCATATATATCTCACACATACACACAGAAACAATATCTTATATATACAGTATATATTTATATATATGTGATATATATATATGTGTGTGATATATATGAGATACTAATTAAAAATATAGAATACATACAAGAGAATATATATACACACACAGCCACATCTTGACAAAATGCAGGCTTGAGACTAACATCATCTCTTTCTCATATACATATACATATATTATATATATATATATATATACATACATAAATACACACACACACATGCAGTCGCCCCTCCATTTTCACAGACTTGGTATCCGCGTCCCTCGCCCATTCACAGGTGGTAAATGGAGGGGACAAAGTGGGGCTTGAATATTTGCGATTTTTCGTTTTCGAAAAACAGAGGAGCGACTGCATATAAATCTCAGATAGATAGATAGATAGATACATAGATGATATATATGAGATGATATTAGTTAAAAATAAAGAATACATACAGGAGGAAATACACACACACACAAAATACAGGCTTGTGACTAATATTGTCTCTCATATATATGCATACTGTGTGTATGTATGTGTGTGAAAGAGATGACTACAGAGAGACAATATTAGCCCAAGCCTGCATTTTGTCAAGATGTGGCTATGTATGTGTGTGTGAGACTGCAGCAACTATAGAACCATAGTACTGAACTCCCATGCAAGCAAAATGACACTGCAACACAGACTCCAACCATACATGGACACGGAAATCCCAGAGGTCGAAACAAGGTTCCAGAAAGGAAGAGGC